TTATTCTGTATGCTAGTGAAATACAGGTGAGCAGATCGATAAATATGAAATGAGAGATGTGGTTGTATTGAATTTGATAGATATGGCAACCTTGAGTGAAGGTCAGTCTAGTTTTATGGCATTAGTGCCAAAAATTGCTGAAAACCCCCGTTTTTGGGGTGTTTAAAACGTTTTCCGCTCTTCACCACAGGGCGACTCAAATGCAACAAACCCACCATGTTTCCTGTTAGGTTTCTGCTGCACGAAGCACTTTGTAACGTCAGTCAGCATGTTTGACTTAATCCAGTGGCTCGGCCTGATTCCCAGTAGTAGATGGTGTAGGAGTCAAAAGCCCTCCTGCTCTGACGCCGATGAACCTTTTTGACTGAGTCCGGTCCATCAGTTGTGAAGTGAAAGCTGTGGCTTTTTACGGCGGCTGTCCGTCTCCATCGATCGCCGCCGTGATCCTGTCGGTCGTTGTGCTGAAGCGGTCAGAGGTAAATGCTGTTTTAATGAAGTCCGCTTATTGATTTGTCTTTGCTGTTTGTGGAATTTGAGTCGACTGAAAGCTGGGTAAACAAGATAATCAGACATTATGCACATACAGAACTGTTGTTCTTTTTTTTTTCTTTTTTTTTTTCCATCCCGTGTTAAAATTGTGTATAATTTGCTCGAGGTAGCGCAAACTTGCGTGTGAAATGAAAATCTGCCAAACAGACTCTTAAAAAGGATGATTGTGAAATTTGCAGAGAATAATTGCAAGCCAAAAAATAAAGCAAATATTGCTGCCAAAACACACGCCACGCCATGGTAAGGAGATTTAGACGGGGAATTGGATTTTCCCAGCTGTGAAATCAGTTCTTGTGGTCCCGTTGGCCAACCGCATCGTCATGCTGCACCGCTGCACATTCGGGTCCTGCGTTTTTTTTTTTTTTCTTCATTTTATTCCCCCTCCACTGGGTGTGTTTTTTTGCGCATGTGCAGCACTAAGTATCTCGGGTCAGCGTGAGCCGCACGGGTAACTTTGACAGATCTGCCTTCGCTCACAGACGGAGAATCGGCACCGAAAGCCTTTTTCATACGGACCGCTTCAATCCGGACACGCGAGATGCATCTCATGTTGGTAAAATAAATAATAATTACTTGAGCGTGCGCACAGTGGATCTCCAAATGTCAAACATCACACTTCAAAAGCTCTTTCCTATTTCTCTGGGTGGACTCAGAGTCATCCAGATGAGAGGGTCTCTTGCTTTGAGTTAGCGGACGGCTTCAGACCGCGTCTCCCGGCCTTTCATGTGCAACCTCCACCATGCGGCAACGCGTTCTCAGTCGCGGGATGCAGCTCTGGCTTCTAGCAACGAGTCATGAGAGCGAAGATTATAAAATGTGTGACAAGGCCTGCCTACAAGCTAAGCGGTTACACTGATCTGCCTGCCAGACATCTTCTTAAACGCAGCCCAAGCTCGATCTCTTCTGACGCTAATGTGACTAAGCCCTTCTCCAGTCATACAACCGATCACATGACGGCACCTCGCAGACGTGTTTATACTGCTTGAACTTTTCCAGATTTAGTTATGCCACAAACACAAATCTGTGTTTGTCTTACTGGGATTTTGTGGGATAGAAATGTTTTTTCGGTGTTTCCCTCCCCAGTAGGAGTCTATAATGTGTGGCATCCATTTCTATTTGGTTCCCCTGAGTCGGTGTTTCAGTACAACTGGCTTCTGCCTCAATCAGAGCAGCTGAAGAATCCATCACTGTATTTCATGATACAATTGGAAATGACCAGAAATTTGTGTAAAACTTAAATCGCGAAATGAAAAGTGTGACATTTCAAAAACCCGAGTTACACGACAACAACAAAGTGGCGCATCATGCATATCAGGGAGAAATGTGAGCCATTGAGTAAAGTTTAAAACTCCCAAGAGTCCACATCTCCAGGAAGTAATTGTTTTCCCAACAGCCAAAGCGCCAGACTCTCTGGACGGAGCAAGACGAGCTGCTTTCTACCAAGGAGGCCTTTATGTCCCCTGTTTTGGCACCATCCCCTAAAACTGTAGAGAAGTTGGGGTGCCTCCACATGTTGTGTTAAGCACAACATGTGGAGGCCTTATTCCTCGTCGCAGGTTCGATTCCCGGCCTTTGCCACATGTCTTTCCCTTCTCTTATTACCTTCTTTCCTGTTAATTCTCTATCAAATAAAGGCCACTAGAGCCAATAAAACCTTTCAAAAATGTAGAGAAGCATTCATTAATTTGTCAACGCCCCAGTAAACTGTGATTGCTGTTGTACATTGACAAATTGTGAGAAAGTAACATGGCGGTGAATATGTTCTCTGAAGCTGGTATGCTACGAATTCACAACATCGATCCTCCCTGAAATCTCTGATCACCCCATCTCCGTTTTCAAAACTAGCTTTAGCATTTGTTTTTTTTTTTTTTTTTTTTTTGTTGTTTTTTTTAACACAGAGGCACAGTGCTAATGAAATGCAGCGCAGCCAACGGTGTGAAAAATGCTTCCTGAACTTGAGACGCCGTCGGCTTCAGCTGCAGAGATGCGCAGCGCGATCAGACAGCAGAGCATCGGCGTTCTGCGCTCCGTGTCGTTCTCTCTGTTTTCTTTCTTCCTCTGTCTTGCGCTGAGATGGTCTCGGGCTGGAATCGCTGGAGCAGAGTTTGAAGAGGCTCAGGCGTTTCATGCCCCTCCGCCCGCGCCCGCCTCCCGCATCTGCTGCCCTTGCAATAACAAGCAGCAGCTCGATTTCGGCAATAAGCGAAACTTTTTACGCCCCTAATGTGGCTTCGATAAATAACGCCGTTGTTTACGGCAATTTGACTTCCTCCCCTCTTGCTCTGTTTTGCAAGTACGTAACGCGGCGTATCATGCATAAGCACATTTTACAAACCCACTGCTGCAGACAAATAGCCCAGCCCCGTCGTGTGTGATCTCAGCGCGCGTTAGGAATATTCTTTGAAAAATCTTCTGGTTTTATTGTCTTCCCCCGCCGCGCGGCACGAGGCCCGGCTCTCTGTCGGGCCCGTTGACTACAGCGGAACAAGCACGGGGGCGCGTTTCATTAGTCTGTCAAACTCAATGATATTTAGAGCCCCACTCTCCTGGCCAGCGCTGGAAAACTCAATCAGCACTCTGATTTCATAACCCGGCTCGGTGACAGGGCTTATTTTATCGCCCCGCTGATTCATTCTAATAAATGCCGGCTGCCCAGCGCCGCCGCAGCCGCTGAAATACAGCCACTCCTCCCTCCTTCTGTCCTCCATGGGTCGACCCGAAAAGAAAAAAGAAAAGAGGAGAGGGGGCTGTGGAGTGGGGATAAATCAGAAATGTGGAAACTGGAGGGTGTAGATAATCCATCGCTGGGCCAGGTGTAGCCAGCAAGTTTGCCCACCAACCCTCGTACCTTCACACACACACACACACAACACACACACACACACACACACACACACACACACACACACGCACACCACTCCCTCCTTCCTGCACCCCTGCAGCACAAATCAGTGGCGGGGGAAGCTGTTGATCTGTGCGGGCTCACTGGGTCTATTGATTGTGGACGACGGAGGAGGAGAGGGGCGATAAATAATCGGAGGCAGAGTGCGGAGGGTGAAGGAAAACAATTATCTGTGGAGGTGGAAAGCACATAAAGTGAGGAATGATAAACACTGTGAAATATGATTGACTCCAAGTGATATATTGGAGCCGAAGGACGGGCAGTGAGGTCTGCGAGCGCCGAGATATCCTTGGGAGGAAGCGGCCGCTCCGGGCCCGGCCGCATCCTGCCGCATCCTGCCGCCCAAATTCAGAGACTCTTCGAGAGTTTGGAGGGTTTCTTTTTTTTAGAAACGGTTGCTCAGCTTGCAAAATAATTTCGCAGGTACGACTCGGGGAATTTACTACGACGGGGTTCCGCAGGACCGAGTTCTTGGCTTCCTACCGTTTTCTCTACATTTAGCTCCATTTTTCAATTCTATGTCGATGACGCTGTAATTTACAGCTCAGCCACATCTAGCTCAGCCAAGTCCTGGATGGTGCTCCACAAGGTTCAATTGTCGTCTTTTTGTTTCCTTCATATATAAATGACCTGAATGAGCGGTTCAAACTTTTTTTTTTTCACTCCTGTTTCTTTAGTCACTTCCTGCCCCCGTGGAAGTTTCCGGTCCCCTCACTCTGCACTCGCCATCACTCTGCAACAGCAGCTTTTCCACTTAATACTTACTGTAAATGTAGGAAAAACCAATCACCAGGTTTTTGTCTACTTTTAATGCTGCCTTGAAGCTGCATCAGTTTTATTTTAGAAAACAAATCGACCTTTTTCTTCTGTCACCTGATTTTTGGAGAATCAACTTTCTTCTCTGTTATAATTAACACAATTTTCTGTGTTAATCAATAAGTTAAAAGAATCTTATTTTTACTCATTGGACTTCAACCCAACTGAGACTTAATTTTACTTTTATCGGCATTGATTTGACCTATTTGAACTGCGCCATTTTATTGTGTTTTAAATTAATTTTGTGATTCATTATTGTGTGTTTAGTTTTGCCACTTTACTTTTATACTTTTCTTTTACCTTATCCATCACTGGTGTTCAAAACCTTGGTTCACCTGTGGCGAGTGTGAAAACACCTTATCAGTAAAGTAGACGAAAAAGTAAAATAACAAAAAGTTCATTTATTTTAACAATTTTGTTTCAAAAGGCGAGTCTAATATTGTAGCGAGGGATTCGGTACATTTTGCTTATTGTAGCTTACAGCTAATGAAACCCCCACATTTTCTGGCAGAAAACTAGAATATTATATAATGTAGACATGTTATGCAACTGTGGTGTAAGAGGTTCAGCAATCATTGCCGCTGCTGTCACTGATACCTTCTGGGCAAACCTGAAAAAAAAAAAAAAAAAGCGTCACTGGAGAGAAGCTAATTGATAAAATTGCTGTGTCAGTGCAGTATGTCTGTGGAAAGTTGAGCGGAAAGAAAAAGTCTCGGGTTTCGTTTCCCCACAGACGACGGACGACATCGTCTCGTCGGCCGAGTGCTCCAGCGACGACGAGGACCTGGAGGAGTGCGACTCGGGACATGCAGGTGGGATGAGTGTGTCGAGTTGTGCTTGCTCTGAGATCTGGTCTATTTCCTCCTTTGATTTCTTTGATTTGCCACCGAGGAGCTCCTCCTCTCAGCATCATGCCCTCCCCCTCCACCCCCCATGGGAGCTTCAAGTGTAACTTTGAAACAAACAAACAAACAAACAAAAAAGCAGCCACACCACCACCACCACCACCCACAGTCCCCACCCACCACAATGCAGTAAAATAATAAAAGCCATTTCTGCGGGGAGTTCTCCGCAGTTTTCAGAACTGTTTTTTTTTGGAGATGCGTAATCGTAACACCCACCCCCCCTACTCCCACACCCCGAAAGCCACAAACCTTTTAACAGTGAACATCGTCGGGGAACTGAAACAAGTTACACTGAGCTATGGGGGCCACTGGTCGCAGACATGACGCCGCGTTGATGCTAATTTTGTCTTCTCAGCACCGATTGAGAGCAAAACTTTACTGAACAAAGTGCGAAATTAGCATCAAGCCGCATGTCGCCTCGCATTGATGCTTCAAAATGTATCTGTCCCCCCACCCCCGCCCCCCCGTACATGGTTGAACCCCCCCTCCCCCTTGCTGTGCGTGTGTTGCCTTTCTCTCCCGACAGAGGATACATTTTGAGATTCTTTCGAGAACAAAGATGCTTTCAGCCTTTTAGATACTGTGATATGTAGCAGACTAACTGCAACAGAGCCTCCCTCCTCCCCTCCTCCCTTCTTCTTCTTCTTCTTCTTCTTCTTCTTCTTCTTTCTCTTGTTTGTACCTCTGTTTCCTCGTCGGAGGCTTGCCTTACCTGAGACATTCTAATAGAGAACAGATATCCTCGAATTTCTGTGGGCACCGTCTCTCCTTCCCCCCCTCACCCCTTTTTGCCTTTTACACCACGCACACACACACACACACACACACACACACAGGTATCACTTTGTGATCGCATCAAAGTGATAAGACACTCAGCGGAGATTGAAAATAAAAACAGAGCTGAAAATAAGCCCCCTTCCCACGCCCCAGATTCAAAAGGAGTGGTGATTTTGAGGCAACTTGGGTTTGGAGGACTTTTTTTTTTTTTTTTTGTGAGGAAGCAGCTGTCAGTCACACTTCCAGCCCTGAGAGCAGCTGGCACACATCCTAATAATGTGGTAAGAACCAGGAGACTAGGAGCCGTATTAAAACTCGGCTCGGCGTTTGACAAGCTGCTCTCCTCAGGAAGTCATTAACGGCTCAGGCTACTTGATCGCTTCTCTGTCCTTCAAAATACCATCACCGCAGACTAATTGATGCGCTAATCTGGCCAAACACGGCCCGGCCCAACGCCCAGCATATGTCCTCTTTTCTCTGCTAATAATGTAATTGCTTAATAATTTGAAAAATGCCCCTCCCCCCAGACAAAAGAAAAAAAACCTTTTGTCTGTAAATATTTTTTTTGCCCAAAGCTCCTCCAGTGGCAGTTTTAACTTCACCTGGCTTAAATTGTTCTATCCAAAAATAAATGGACAGATTATCTCTTCTCTCTGTTGATCTTCAGTCAAGGTAAAAAGGCTGACTGAGGTTTTCACACATTGTTGTTGTTAGGAGTATTTTTTTTCCGCTGCAGATAAAAAGATGCTGTGATCACATTCAGCCAATAAAACGTTTATTTTCTTATTTAAAAAAAATAAATGATTTGTAATTTTTTAAATAATTTTTAATATTGTGTAAAAAGGCTTAAATTAAGAAGCTGCAGAACGTGGCAAAATAAAAAATAAAAAAATCCGATTAACTGATTAATCGTCAGAACAATTGCTAGATTAATTGAAAATTCAAATAATTGTTATTGCAGCCCTGATTTCAATGCGTTTCATTGGGGTTTTATGATGCAGCGACACAGAGCAGCGCATGCATTGCGAGGCTGAAGGGAAACAAAACGTTGACTTCAAGTTTACTTTTGGAAAAATCTGAAAAGTGTGGCATGTTTTTCTATTCAGTTCCCTTTGCTCTAACAAAATAAGTCACTGGTTTACTAACGAATCCTCCTGTGTTCAATTCTCCAGCGTCAAATTATGTTTAATTTCAAAGATGGTCTCAGAATAAGTATCAATAAAACCTATTGACAAATTGTTAAATATTAGACATCTTTTAAAATTAATGTAATTTGGCAGTACGTAGAAAAACGTATTTGATTTGATAGATAAAACAGTATTTAAACACACATCTGTTCACAGGTTCTCTGGAGCCGAGAGAATCACATTATTTGCTACAACGGGTCCTATTTGGCCCCCGCTTGCCTTAGATCAGGGGCTCCTAAGCTTCTCCATGCCGTGGCCCCCCAAATTAGACTGGCAGCCATTATTATTTTTTATTTAAAATCTACATTTATAATATTATTAGATTAAATTCTTTAGTTTCTCCAATTTTGGGGGCCTCCCTAGTGCCCCCTAGAGTTTTTGTTGGAGAACTGTAGTGAACAAACGGCATCATAACGAACAACAATCAACCAACTTTAGGTAAAAAAAATAAAAAATTCTAGAAAAATGTAAAACAGGCCGAGGGTAGAAAACAACATCCCAAGCGATTCGGTATCTCAAAGAGCGTCTTCCGAAAACAGAAAAGTAAACCTGCAGCCGAAATTGAAACACCATGAATCGCCATCACTATGACGCATGTTGGTGGCAGCATCATGCTATGGGAATGCGTTGATTGGAAGAGTCATAGGGGGCGATTACAAAAACACGCCTCGTTTTTCAGTTGTTTTTTTTCTTTTTTTTTCTCCCACTTCACGATAATCCACCACAAACTGAGAAGTTTGTGACTGAAATGTTGCAAAACCCCCCCAAAAAGCTCCGGCAGTGTGAATACTTTCACCAAAACACTGCAAGTGTTTCTGTTCTTCAAATATCAAACCCAAGTGCTCTCAAAAGGTCAAAGTGCAAGCTTTTATTTATTTACTTTTTATCTCTGTAGAACATGGTGCCCGGCCCTCATATAGTGGCAACATAGACACACCCATACCAACCGTGCATCCCGCCATGTTGACACAGAAATTCATTCCCTCATTCCTCACTCCACCTCCAGCTGCACGTCCTGCTGTCCGTTCTTTTGTTTTTCTTTGTTTTCTTTGATGCCCATGTGAACATGACTTGAGTTTGTTTAAGATTTGAACTTTATTTTATTTAAATTTTTTTGGTGTGTTTGTTGTTAATCTTTGGGGGGTGCCAAGGTGGGTAGAGTGAAGTGATTTTTTTTTAATTTTATTATTATTATTATTATTTTATTTCATTCTTTTGTTTTTCGTGTTGTTGCACTGATTTTGACTTCATCAGCATCGCCATCATCATCATCGTCATCACCATCCGCCGGCCATCCTCCAAGCAAGGCTGGAGCCGCTCCTCCCGTGTTTTTGCCTCATCTCGTGCCGCATGAACTTTTGGTGGTTGGAAAAAAATAATAATAATAATAATAACCTTAAACTCAAACTCCTCCTCCCCTCGCCCCCCTCCTTCCCCGTCTCACTCCCCCATCATCAACTTTGTGCCGTGTGGCTCCGACAGAAACATCCCCTGACCTCATTTTCAGCACAACGAAGGGAAACGAACGGCAACAAAAATCTTTTCTTGCCATCATTTTCTGGTTTGTTTTGGGTCTTTGTGACGACAACCCCGTACTGTCTTGAGAAAGTCGTGTGTGAAAGACTGACCTCCCCTCATTCCCCCTACTCACCCAACCCCAACCACAAACACCTTCTCTTCACCCTTTCTGAGTGTTAACCCCTTCCTTTCCCTCCACTCTGACTCAGCCTCTCTGCATATACATGTCTGTTTGAATGCAGATGGCATAAAAAGACTTTTATTGCCACAAAGTATATCTGTTTTTCTATTCTATCTGTTGCTCCAAGTAGAAGGCATTTGTGGCATGCTTCGACCCGGACTAACTGCTGTCAGTACCTCCCCGCTCCGTCCTAATCGTCACCCCTTCTGCTTCTGCATGGACATGAGTGGCGTCCATATTTTGTGCTGCTGTCTTTCCACCCATAAATCCCAGGCTAATTCCCCCCCTGTAACCCCTGGCTTCAGCTACGTGTCAGTGTGCATGCTGGGGGCTGCGGCGGCAGGTCCGAGCCTCGCCGACGTAATCCGCAGCATCCTGAGGCGTCTCGTGTTGTGTGTTTTGCCCCGTCTGCCAAAACAGCCTGTCTTGTCTGCTCTTCGTCTTGTGCTCGTGTCGTCTGTTTAAAAGAAATAAAATGGGAAAAAAAAGTGTTGAACCTAACCCCTTTGCCCCCGTACTTTACCCGCCCCACCAGGAGTTCCACATGAGAGAGAGAGTAAACAAGGACTGCACTGAAAGTCCTACGTTCACATCTACCTAGCAACATGTTTGTCAAACTGGAATGAAATTACTGGAGAAAAATAAGTTTAGAGAAAAGAGAACAAGTCCATTCTGGTTTCGTTTTCCACTGATTAACTGCGTGGCGGCTCATTACCATGTAGTCAGAGCAATTTTGTGATTAATACATAACTGCATGATTGCAATTAATGCAAATGACTCACAAATCTACAAATAGGAACCCCTAATGTTTGATTGGTAGGTACAGAGCGCTACAGTCCCTTTTAAAGATATTAATTTTGTTGTTGTTGTTGCAGCCCATAAAAAAAAAAAAAAAGAGGTTCTTTTCACCACCTGCTCTGAAGAGGTGAAGAGAGGTCGTGTTGATAGCATTAATCAAGTCTTTATTGCTTTTGCATTAACAGTTTCCCGGGAGACAGCTCAGCAAAACTCTAGGAATCCCTAAAAGCTTCAGCGCCGTCGTCGCTGTTATTAGTTTCAATTCTGATCCGGCTCGTCAAAATGTCACGGCAACGGTAGACGCCGCGCCAGAAACTGAGAGATTTTGGGATACGTAAAAGCGAGAAGCGAATGAGCTCCAACTTTTGGGTTTTAGTTATATTTTTGAATCAAATGTGTTTATTCCTATGATATCAATAAAGTGACAGACTAAATATGAGGCAAAG